GGCACCATCTAGTTCTTCTGGTCTCATAGTCATATAGGCTGCAGATCAGATGGTGTACTAATCTGTCACTAGGACTAATTGTTTCCATGAATTTTTGGTTTTCTTCATTCTTCTTTGCTCTGGATGAGGAGAGACTCATCGTTGCCTCTAGATGGCAGCTTGCAAACTTTTAAGATCCCAGTTGCTACTCACCAAAGTAGTAGGAGGATGTACCTATTCTGTTTTTGTCCTTTGCCCAAGGATGTAGTCCTTGGTCACGAGTACAGTCTTTACAAATCTTTTTAGATTCCAATGGAAAACTGAGATGTCTATTTTTAAAGCCTCTCCAATCTAGTATGACCTGAACTCCAAACTCTGGCACTCCACCAATTGGCAGAAACTGTGCAAATTTTTAATGATATTTAAGCTTTCCAGATGTTGCTCTTTTCCAGATTCCCTGAAGTTACATCTTGTGCATAGTATAGGGGAACAGTAAGCCAATGAACTCAGAGGAATTTGTACAGAGATTTCTGAGCTTTCTGCTCTGTGGCTCCCACCTTTCTAGGATTTTCATCCCTAATTTCCAGACACTGTGGTAGCCTGTGGGCACTCTGATGCCATGTTCTCATTCTATTAGAACTGTTTCTATTTCACTTACAATCTCCCATGAGCTTCATGAGTTGAGAAATACTCCTAGGTGAGAAACTGGATAAATGTGAAGCTCACTTAGTTCTGTCTCTTCCTTCAGTGATGGTCCCCAACAGTACCTGCCTGTTTTTTGTTGCTCCTCAGGCCTTCAAATAGTTTCATGTTTTTTGGCTCTTTTTTTTTTTTTCACTATTTTGTCAAGAATTTATTACTTTTATTGGCAGAATTAGTCAGATACAAGCTCCTTCACTATTCCAAGAATAAGAAGACTCTCTTCATCCATATTTTCATCATTCCTTTTTAGTCTGGTACATGTCAAACAAGTCAAGAATCTGCTAACCCATCTACCCTGGATTATGAAAAGTCTGACATTTTAGACGTGGTGGAAGGGTAGTTACACTTTGCTTTCAATCCATCTATGAATACTAGCTAAATGTTTAATAATATTTTGTAAGAAAAATTTCTTAGGCCAGTGCTACCATTTGAACTTCAAACGACTTGCTGAATGTCCAAGATTTCCTTCCTTGTCTGTTTGTCAGAAGAAACTGAGATCCAGAGAGGTTGAACTCCTTGCTCTGGCAGAAACCAGAAAGATATTAATCAAGTCTGTTTTCTCTTCCAGGGCACAAAACTAAACTACATTTCCCAGTCCCTTTGTATATGGACAACAGGAGCTCTGGTGGCATAGTAATTAATGTATTCAGCTACTAACCAAAAGGTCAGTGGTTCAAACCACCAACCATGGGACAAAGACGAGACAGTCTGCTTCTATATAGATATACAGCCCTGGAAACCTCATGGGGCAATTCTACTCTTTCCTAAAGGGTCACTATGCCTCAGAATTGACTTGATAGCAGTGGGTTTGTTTTTTGTTTTTTGTTTTTTTTTTCCTTCCCTTGATTTTATACATGGATAACTAGTTTTTGACATATTTTTCTTTTTTCTTCCCGTCTGCCAGGTGAATGATGCTAATCTTTTTCCTCCTTCTTTTTTTTTTCACCAGGGAAATTTTAAAGGCACATGTGGAAGATGCAAATTAAGATACTGAAGTGGCCTGGTTCTCTAAATGTTGTGTGGAGTGAAGATTCCCTGATGACCAATGTTTGACAATGATGTAAATAAAAAATAATCTTTTATTGTGTTAAGCTGTGTAAAACTCAACTAAAACTGGAGTTTTTTTTTTTTTTCCTCCTTTGGAGGGGGTAATTAGTGCTAGTTAGGCAAATTAATTTTTGTGACATAACAATAAACCAATCTCTCTACCTCTTTTGATGGTTAAGAGACATAATCCCATTCCCATTTACATATAGCTTACCTAATTATTATACCAGAAGGCTGGCGATTCAAACCTACCAGCCACTCCTCAGAAGTAAGACTGGGTGATCTACTTCCATAGAGATACCACCTCAGAAACCCAAGGAGGGGTTGCTATGAGTCAGAGATGACTTGACGGCACATAACAACAACAATTATTATACTATACAATAACTTACAAAATAATTTACAGCAATCAAGAGTATTTCATTTAACTAATGCTAGAAAGATAGCATCTTACCTAGAGATTGAATACCTTTCTGTTCAAGAAAGGTGTTTAATAAATTTGTATTAAGGTTTAATATAAATCCCAGTTCTGGGGTAAGTTTCCAAAAGCCATCCTATAAAAGTAAGGAAACAGATTTGAGTCACATTATTAGAATTTTATCACATAAGAAATAAATTAAGTTTCTTTATTTCAATTCAGATAATTAAAATAGTTCTAAAACTTTTTCTATCATACATTCAAAGGTCTTCATAGACTAGTGACACAGGATTGTTTTGAATTTCATAAATACTATTAGCACGATGTATCTAGAACCATTTATTAAAAAGATTAGAAAGAAATTATTGTTTAAAGAGTTCTAAAAAATATAATATCCATTTTCTTGTTCTACCAATGCTTTGAAACAGTGTTTGCCAATTTTTTAAACACAATGATTGCTTTTGTTCAACACAGAAAATCTGAGTTTTTTGTACTCTAAAATTTGAAAATTTTACTTTTCTAAATATAAAATTGTACTGTTGAGCATATTCTTTAAAACTACATATACACTTTCCTGTACTCACCATCTCCTGTCCACAGATAAGGGTCATTGCTTCAAAGGCTGGTCTTTATCACTTCATCTGGTGGTATAGCGTCTAAGGCATTTGAATGTTAACCAGAAGGCTGGCGGTTCAAACCCACCAGCCACTCCACAGAAGGAAGACTGTTCAATCTACTTCTGTAAAGATTTATTGCCTTGGAAACTCAAAGGGGGTTTCTATGAGTCAGAATCAATTCAATGGCAGTGACTTTTGATTTTTATGTTGTTTTTTATGAAAGCATGATAAGCCTGAAGATGGGGATCCTTATCTTGGAACAGATAGATTCCAGGACTAAGGAGGAATTAATATAGGAAGGAGAAATGAGATGCAGTCATAGGCAGGTGCACATATTAAAGGACCTATGGCAAGAATTTTAAAAAATAAAACCACAATTAATATGTGCCAACTCACACTGAACTAATGTCAGGTGTGATTCTTTCATCTTTTCAGGAACTTGTTATGTATGGGTTATTATTATACTCATTTTACAGATAAGTACACTGAAATCCAGAAGGTAAAGTAACTTGTCTACAGTCACACAGTTCATAAGCAGAAGCAGAATTTAAACTTCAATATTATGGCTCTAGAGGGCACACTCTTGACTAACTGCTTTACCCCTTCTTTTATATATATATTACTTCATGTAAGAAAAGCTTGGCTGTTGTTAATATCCTATTTAAACCTCAAATGTAATCTAGGAGGACTTCTGCTAAGATGGCAGAATAGGCAGCAAGCTACACAGATCCTCTACAACAAAGAAAAGAGAAACCAGTTGACACAGATACAGAAGATAATCCTGGAGCCCCAATCTGTGAAATGAAGGATACAGAAGTGGATAGTACACCAACTACTAGAAGAACCTGAATGAAAACAGTGAGTAAGAAGACAAATGGAACTGTGGGCTGTCAGCTATCTTGATGGCACAGGCAGTTTGAATATTTTCACATGGTGTTAGGACCTGAGCATTAACCTAAAACTTGGCCTGATTTACCAAGGGCTGCATGGATGACTGCACTAGTTCTGATGACTAAAAATGGAAACAACAAAGAAGGAGACAAACTTAGCTGTGGACTTCTGGCTGTCCGGAGGACACTGCCATTTTGAATGTCTAAAAGTAGTGGTCATTTTCGTTATTTAAAGTAACAACATTCTCATTCAGATTGCAGGAACCTAAGAATAGGCTCCACTTGCCAAGTGCAGCATGAACACACCGGGAGCTGACAACTAGAAAGCTAACAGAGATATGTCCCCCACCCTCATACTCTATCACCCACCAGAAGACAGATGGTGAGTGCATAAGTGTTGCCACCTAGAGAATAGGGGAAGACAGTACACTGTTTACTCAGATACATCCAAACAAAACAAAGAAAACTAAAGTCATGGGCAAATCCATCCAACATACAGTAACCAATGAAATATAAATAAAACAATCTTACAATGTCTCGGAAAACAACACACTATCACAGTCCAAACAAAGAAGAAAAGATAAAACAGGAGAAACAAGGGACCAGGATACAGACCCAGATCATATCCCTGAGGAAGCAGCAGCACTGGAACTCCCTGCTAAGGAATTAGAATGAATTATATTTAGGTACCTTTAATGGATTGAGAAACAGGTCAAGGAAAACAAGACAAAATTAAGGAAAACACAGACAAAACCCTAGAACAATTTTGGAAGAAAATACAAGAACAAAATGACAAAATAAGTGAAAAACTAGAAATGATGCAAAATCTACAGATAGAAGAGCAGAAGATTAATACTAAATTTTCAGAAATAGATATAACATATTGAATGGGCAAAGGAGTAAAATTGAATCACTGGAAGAGAGAATTAGTGAGATTGAAACAAATCTTCAATACTTCTTTGGAAAGGGATCAATCAGAAAAAAGATCAAAACAAAATGAAGACTGACTAAGATTTACACGAGATATCATCAAAAGGGATAACCTACGTGTAATGGGAATTCCAGAACAGGAAGAGATAAATAAAACCACCAGAAAAATTGTTGAAGATTTGTTGGAAGAGATTTTCCCTGATATGATGAAAGATAAAAATGTATCATTCAAGAAGTCCAATGAACCTCAAACAGGATCACCAAGAAAATCACCAAGATATATCATCATCAAACTTAACAAAACCAAAGACAAAGAATCCTGAAGGGAGCATGGGAAAAACAAGAAGTTACCTACAAAGGGCAACCAATAAGACAAAGTTCTGATTTCTCTGCAGAAACCATGCAGGAAAGAAGGCAAAGGGATGGTATATATAAAACCCTGAAAGAAAAAATTTCCATTCAAGATTATATACCCAGCAAAAATATCCCTCAAATATTGAGGGTGAAATTGGGACTTTCCAGATAAGCAAAAATTAAAGGTATTCATTAAAACCTGACCAATCTTACAAGAGATACTAAAGGGAGTTCCTTGGGCAGAAAACTAACAATAAACAACTGACATTAACACACATAATGACATAACCCAGAAACCAACCCACTTACAGAAGTATCCAAAACAAAATAAACTTATATGACTCTAAATAGGGAACTAGAGACATCTCTAGAAAATGGGGACAACTACAACGAAAAAGAGGGGATAAAAAGAATAGTTACAGAACTACTAAATGGTGACAAAGTCAAGACCAGTACAAGGTAGAACAGACTCTTCAAAACTTCAGAAGAAAATTATAAATCACAGGGTAACCTCAAAGAAAAATGACAAACCTTCACATAACAATAAAAAAGAGGACAAGCACAAATATTCAGCATATACTAAAACAACAGCAACAACAGGAATGATAAAACAATTCATAAACAAAAGGAGCTCAGCACAGGAAATTATATGGAACAAAGAAATCAGCAACACCATGAATACACAAATAACAAAATGACAGCAAAAAATTCATACTTGTCAATAATAACACTGAAAGTAAATGGATTAAATGCACCACTCAACAGATGGAAAGTTGAAGACTGGGTAATAAACCTACGCTGGGAAGTTCCAGTAAGATGGTGGAATACCAAAACAAACTACACAGACCCTCTTCAACAAAGAAAAGAGAAACCAGTTGACAGAGATACAGAAGATAATCCTGGAGCCCTGAGCTTTGAAAGGAAATATACAGAAGTGGATTAGGCACCAACTAGGAGCTCTGGTAGCTAGTGCCTAAGGCATTTGACTGCTAACCAGAAGGCTGGCAGTTCAAACCCACCAGCCACTCCTCGGAAGGAAGATTGGGCAATCTACTTCCGTAGAGATACTACCTCAGAAATCCAGGAGGGGTTGCTATGAGTCAGAGCCGACTCGAGGCAGTCAGTTTTGAGTTTAGTGGAAAAACCTGAATGAAAATATTGAGTACAGACACAGTAGGAACAGTGGACTGTCAGCTACTATGATGGAACCAACAGCCAGAATATTTCCAAGTGGTGTTGGGACCTGAGAACTGACCTAAATATCAGCACTGGTCACCAAGGGCTGCAGGGACAACTGTGCTGGTGGCCTATGACTAGGAAGGGAAATAGCAAGGAAGCAGACAACCTGAGCTGTGGACTTTTGGCTGTCCAGAGGGCACAGCCATTTTGATTATTTACAAGTAGCAACCATTTTGGATATTTAATGTGATGAGGAGCAGCCATTTTGAATGTTTACAAGCGGCAGCCACTCTGGATATTTAAACTGACCCAGGGTGCAGCCACTTTAAATTTTTACAAGCGATGGCCATTTTGGATATATAAAATGACTGAGGGCGCAGCCATTTTATAAGTTTACAAGCGGCAGCCATATGAGATTTTAAAGTGACAGCACTCTCATTCAGACACCAGGGACCTAAGAACAGGCTCCGTTTGCCAAGGACAGCAGGGATATACAGTAGGCTGGCAATGGGAAAGGAGACAGGTGGTGAGTAACTGCTGCCAACTAGTGAATAGAGGAGCACAGTACCTTGCTGACATAGACACATACAAACAAAACAAAGAAAATGAAAATCATGGGCAAGTCACTCCAACATAAAATGACCAATTAAATATAAACATAAAAATGTCAAAATGCCTTGGAGACAATGGAGCATCAGAGTCCACACATAAAAAGCAAGATAAAGCAGTAGAAACAAGAGACCAGGACACAAACCCAAAACACATCCCTGAGAAAGACACAGCATTGGAACTCCCTGATAAGGAATTCTAAAGAATTATATTTAGGTACTTTCAACAGATTGAGAGACAGATCAAGGAAAACACTGACAAAATTGAGGAAAACAATCCTAGACAAAACCTAGAAAATTCTGAAAGACAATACAAGAACAAAATGACAAAATAAATGAAAAATTAGGAATGATACAAAATCTACACATAGAAATCCAAAAGATTAATACTAAATTTTCAGAAATAGATAAAATGTTGAATGGGCAAAGGAGTAGAACTGAATCAATAGAAGACAGAATTAGTGAGATTGAAGACAAATACCTCAATACTTCCTTGGAAAGAGATCAATCTGAAAAAAAGATGAAAACAAAATGAACAAACCCTAAGGTTTATATGAGAAACCATCAAAAGGAATAACCTACATGCAACTGGAATTGCAGAACAGGAAGAGAGAAATAAAACCACAGAGAAAATTGTCAAAGATTTTTTGGAAGACAATTTTCCTGGTATGATGGAAGATAAGAATATATCCATTCAAGAAGTCCAACGAACCCCAAACAGGATAGACCACAAAAGAAAATTATCAAGGCATATCATCATCAAACTTACCAAAACCAAAGACAAAGAAAGAATCCTGAAGGCAGCATGCAAAAAAACAAACAGTTACCTGCAAGGGGCAACCAATAAGACTAAGTTCAGATTTCTTGGCAGAAATCATGCAGGTGAGAAGACAATGGGATGTTATATATAAAATCCTGAAAGAGAAAAATTTCCAACCAAAAATTATATACCCAGCAAAATTGTCCCTCAAATATGATGGTGAAATTGGGACATTTCCATATAAGCAGACATTAAGGGAATTTGTTAAAACCAGACCAAACTTACAAGAAATGCTAAAGGGAGTCCTCTGGACAGAGACCAACAACAGCAAACAACAACCAACCATTAACACACATGATGACAAAACCTAGAAACCAGTCAAATAATGGAAGTATCCAAAACAAGTAAGTTTACAAGATTGTAAACAGGGAACCAGAGACATCAATTGACAAATGAAGACAGCTACAAACCAAAAAAAAAAGGGAAAAAACTGTGTAGTTACAGAACTTATAAATGGTAGGTAAGTCAAGAAAACTGCAAGATAGAATGGACTATACTAAACTTGGGAAGAAAATTATAAATCACAGCTAACCTCAAAGAAAAATGACCTTCACATCAAAGTAAAAAAGAGGACCAGCCCAAATATTTAGCAAATACTAAAACAATAGCAACAAAGGAAGTGATAAACAATTCATAAACAGAACGAGGTCAGCACAGAAAATTATATGGAACAAAGAAATCAGGCATGCCACAAAAAAGCACATAACAAAATGAAAGCAACAAATACATACTTGTCAATAATTATGTATCTGACAAAAGACTTAGCTCTAAAATTTATAGAAACCTGCAATACTCCAACAACAAAAAGATGAACAGTCCAATTAAAAAATGGGTAGCAGACATAAATAGACCCTTCACCAAAGAGAATATTAAGGTGGCCAGCAAATACATGAAGAAATGCTCACAATCATTAGCCATCAGAGAGATGCAAATCAAAACAAAAATAAGATACCATCTCACACCAGCACTAATGGCAAAGTTCAACAAGACAGAAAATAACAAATACTGGTGAGGATGTGGACAGATTGGGACTTGCATACACTACTGGTGGGACTGTAAAATGATACAACCACTGTGGCAAGCAATATGGTGATTCCCTAAAAAGCTGGAATTAGAAATACCATTTGACCCAACAATTCCATTACTAGGTATATATCCTAAAGAAGTGAGAGCCAGGACAGGAAAAGATATATATATGCACACCCATGTACACCACAGCACTATTTACAACAGCAAAAAGATGGAAACAACCTACATGCCCATCAACAGAAGAATGGATAACCAAACTATGGAACATACACACAATGGAATACTATGCAACAATAAAGAATAATGTAGAATCTGCAAAACACTTCATAACATGGATGAACTTGGAGGACATTATGCTGAGTGAAATAAGTCAATCACAGAAGGACAAATATAGTATTAGTTCATTATTGTAAAAAGTCAAGGAAAGGTTTATATATGGAAGGAAACTTTGTTGGTTAGCTGAGGGGGGAGGGAAGAACACTGCAAAAAATAAAACAAAATGCATTGACCCATGTCACTTTAGTTTTGTGTGTTTCACTGTACCTAAATTATGTTTCAATGACATGTATTTAAAAAAAAAAAAAAAAGAAAGAATAATGTAGAATCTACAGAGCACCACAAAATGTGGATGAAGTTGGAGGACATTATGCTGAGTGAAATAATGAAATCACAGAAGGATAAATATTGTACTAATTCATTATTGTAAGAAGGAAAGGTTTATATATGGAAGGAAACTCTTTGTTGGTTATGGGGGGAAGGGAGGGAAAAAAGAAAATTAATTATTTTAAAAAAGCAGATGGGATACAACCACCCTAGAAAAGTGACTGTGTGATCCTTCTGTTCTCTACAAAAATTATGAAATTTCTGTCCTATAGAGGGGCAGTCAAAATGCTACCCAAAATTCTATAGAAAAGGTATTGTAGTTGTATTTATCTGCTTTTTAAAATACGTGACTTTTGTGCTTTCTTTTTTTTAATAAAAGCACATATTCACTCTTTAAAAAGAAAAAAGGTCCTCTAGGAGTTGGACACTATTATTATCGTCATTATATGGATGAGGAAACAGAAAATCAAAAAGTTTATCTCATGTACCAAAAATTAAAAGAGACAGTATTGGGACTCAGTCTTGTCATAATGAACCAAGTTGCCTTCCACCTTCCACTTTACTTAATTAATTCATATCAGGAAAACAAAACAAAACAAAACAAAAGATTAGGGATGTGACATTGGGTCTTGGTAGCACTGCAAGACTTAAATTTATAGGGTGTTCATTAGCTTAAAAGATGTACTGGTGGCACAGTGGTAAGACATTTGGCTGCTCAAACCCACCAGCTATTCCTTTGTTGGAAGATAAGGAAATCTACTTCTGTAAAGATATACAGCCTTGGAAACTGTATATGATGAGTCGGAATCAACTCGATGGCTGTGGGTTATGAGTCCCAGAACCAAGTTGATGGTAGAATGCGTAATTAGCTTACCAAATGGAATAATAAACTCTAATACAGTATTATATATTTTTTTAAAAAAGGAAAACACTGCCATCAAAACAATTCTGACTCATAACGACTTTATGGGACAGAGTAGAACTGCCCTAATTCAGTTTGCAAGACTGTAAATTTTTATGGAAGCAGACTGTGTTATCTTTCACCCACAGAGTGGCTGGTAGGATCAAACTGCCAATCTTTTGGTTAGTAGCCCAATGCTCAAACCACAGTGCCACTATAGCTCCTTATTACATATTAAGTCATATCCAAATTCCAAATACATTATGTGAAAGTTCTTTAGCATATACTTCTGCACTTATACTTTACTTCCAATGGAAAATTTGCATGAATTTCATCAGTTCTAGAGGCCTAGAAATTAAGATCTTAACGCACTGCCTGTGCAGAGATGTTAATTTTCAGGTGAGGAAGATTATCATGCACTAGCATGGTGTCCGAGCTTAACAGTTAACATAGAAACACCAGCCAAATACATCATCAAGTACACTTTTTAGTTCAGCTCACTTGTTTACTTGTTGGTAGTAAGATTTCCTTGATGATGAAAGCAATATTTTGATTTACATTCTGGAACTTACCTTACCAAGGACTTACCTCACCAAGGACTGTCATAAACTGACTGGCTACTTTGAATAGCACTGTTAAAGACTATGAAGCTAACTAAACATAGACTTAAATAGAAATAAGGCAAATACCTCAGTTTGTAGACTGAAAAGTTTAGTCCAAGGCACAAAATTCTTCCAGCTTTTTCTGCAAATTTTATCATCTTGTGAATGAAAGACTAAGAATAAGTCATTTTTTGTTACATCAGATTTTCCCACTCTTTTTAAAAAGCTACTTGCTTGAAGCACTGGCTGTTTATTACTTTCCATTTCAGAAGAACTTTTATCAATTGAAGAAATCCAAAGATCATCTTGGGGAGGATCTGATAATGCAGTTCTGGCAGAAATATCTGATTGAAAAGACACTGTTGATTCACTGCTTGTAAACCCATGTAAACCTACTGGTGGCTTGTAATTGGTGCCCAAAGGAACCAGAGACTGTTGAAAATGAGGAGGAGAGGTAAAACCTGGAGCTGCAATAGGAGGAGGAACTCTAGGATGAGAGAGAAAAAGATGTGGTCTGGGAAGAGAGTCTATTCCACAGGAAATGCCAGTACGACCGGAGATTTCATGGTCTTGGTAAATTTTAGGTTGTTCAATTTTAGGTTGTGTTGAGCCAAATAAGGCAGCTGAAAAAGGAGGACCAGCAGGAGATCTGAATGGTGACCCCTGGAGAAGTAGCCTTGAAGGGAAATCCAACTCAAGGGAAATGTCAGTACAATTGTCAGTCTCAAGGTCTTGGTCATATTTAGATAGACCAGCAAGAGAACCAAAAAGAGGGCTCTGAGGAGAGTTGGGAGCACAGAGGGAACCAGAATCAATATGAGGGGCAGCTGGGAGTTTGGGTGGTGCAGCACCAAAAGAAATGAAAGGCTTGGGAATAGGCTTTATGTTTAAGGGTAAATATTTCCTAAATTTTGCTTTAATTTCTGGTTTTTCAAATGAATCCAATGGCTTTGCCATAAGTCTACATTCAGAATTGAGTGTTGAAGCTTGTACTGGTAGTTGTGCAGCTAAATTAAACACGTCAACATCTTCAGAAACTTCCAGCTTGCATAATTCAATTTTTCTTTTAGTTAAATGTTTGTGCTGCAATTCTTCATTCCATTCAGAGGTAGCTGAAACAGTCTATTCAGAAGAGAAAAATATAATATAAGGAGAAAATAGAGAATAAAACTAACAATCAAACATACTTAAGACTTCTTGTAGTCAAGCAATTGACTCATGCTAGATCATGAGTCCCAGAGTCAGAATCACAATATAGGCAGAAACATTGCAAATAAAACCAGAGATCTTCAAGATCATTTAAATACAACCCCCTCATTTTATAGATATGGAATTTAAGACCTGGAGAGCATGTCAGCAATAAATACACCACATGCTTAAACTAAAGATCTTCATCTCTCTTCTTATAAGCACAGGATTTTAAGCATCCCTCATTTTACACACAAGGAAACTGAGATTCACAGGAGTAGAATGACTTGCCTAAGTTGTTAATAATTAGCAGAATCACAGGGTGCAAACTAGCCCTACAATAAGCTAATAATTTGAAGGAATTTTTAAATAACTTTTTTTATTCTGCTTTACAGAAATATTAAAAGACTGAGAGAAATGAATAATAATTCAAAACTTTAATGTAATTGTGGTAGTTAAGGCTATGTGTCAACTTGGCTAGGCCTGGTTCTGCATGGCTGGACAGCTGTATATAGTGATTCTCCATGATGAGACTGGTAATCAATTCCATGGTGGGATCTGCTGTGAGCAGCTGAGTAACTGCCTGAGGGATGTGGTCTGTTCTAGTATATAAGAGGAAGCTTTCAGAAAGGTCCTGAGCTTCTTAGCACACTTGGATCCTGCATTTGGCCAAGTCATCAGTGAGGAGCCTGCCATGTTGTCTGCTGATCTTGGGACTGTTTCTGGACTTGAACTAGTGACCTGCTGTGTTGCTTGATAATCTTGGGACTGTGCCATTTTATTTGTCGACCTTGGGTTTGTCAGCCTCAGCAGCCAAAAGCTGCCTGAGATAAGAGCAGTGGGGTGGGAACAAGAGGCAGAGCTGAAGCCCAAGGCTGAGAGGCCTTCACCCAGCCCCTAGAGCTGGCACTTTGAACTCAGACTTCTAGCCTTCTAAACTGTAAGAGAACAAATAAATCCCTGTTTCCTAAAGCCACATATTTGTGGTATTTCTGTTACAGCACCTCTAGGGAACTGAAACAGTAATTAAATGAATATATCTTTACAACAGAATACAAACAAATATGTATAACAAAGGGGAATTAATATATATGTAGTATTCCTAAAAAACCTGGGTATAAACCAAAATAAGTTTTATATGGATGACAAGTCATTGAGATTTACCTTAATACTTTTAAAATAATTACTCCCTAATTATACCAAACTAAATGATCTGCTGTTACAAATGATCTGAGCTCTTTTCCAACTCAGGCAAGTTTCAAGTATTATACATTTAAATAAGTAATATTTTAAAATAAATGACAAAACACATACTTAAAACATATTTTAACTAATGTTTCTATGGCTCAAAAAATATGTATTTTTTCAAATTAGATAAGTAAACTGGAAAAGAACAAGTGATGGACGAGATCGTTTGGATGTTAAAGCATTTTAAAAACCATAAAATTAAAACAGACAAAACAATGGAACAGAGTAAATGGTTCAGCAATATTTCCTAGAACATGAGGATTTAGTAGAGCATAGTGCCTAAGGCACTTGACTGCTAACCAGAAGACTGGTGGTTCAAACCCACCAGCCACTCCTCAGAAGGAAGGTTGGACAATCCTACTTCTGTAGTGATACTGCTTCGGAAACCCAAGGAGGGGTTGCTATGAGTCAGGGCCGACTTGACGGCACATAACAACAACAACAACAAAGGTGATATTTCATATTAGAGGGAAAGAAAGAATAATTACTCAATGAATGGTGCTAGGAAAAGTGAGTAACCATCCAGAAAAGAAAATAGTTGGTTCCATATTTCTTATCTCTTACCAAGAGGAATTCATTATTACAAATAGCTCACTTTCCAGATACATAAAATTTGTCCTAAAATAAATAAAACAAGTAACAAACAGTCTGTCTTGGTTTCCTAGTGCTGTTATAACAGAAATACCACAAGTGGATGGCTTTAATAAATATGAATTTAAGAGTTTAGTTGCCTAAAAGTCCAAACTGAGAGTGCCAGTTCTAAGGGCTGGGTGAACCCCCTCAAGCTTGGGCTTCAGCTCTGCCTCCTTTTCCAGGCCCTCTAGAGCTGAAGGCTTTTTCTGACTCATGCAGTTGCTGGTGTTTGAGGCTGAAGAACCCAAGATAGACAGGTAAAATGACACAATCCCAAGATGAGCAAGCAACATGGCAGAGCACTGGTTCAAATCCAGGAATAATCCCAAGATCAGCAGGCAACACAGCAGGCCCAGACTCAGCAAAATGCAGGATCCTGATGTGCCAGAAGGTAGAGATCTTTCTCAAAATATCTCCTTAGATACTGAAAGCAGGCTATAACTTGAAGGCAGCTCTTAGCTGCTCACAGCAGATTCCACCAGGGAGGGGATTACAATCTCTTCATGGAGAATAACTACAACCAGCTGCCCAGTCACTCAAAACCACAGCCAAGCAAAGTTGACACACAACTTAACTACCACACTATAAAAAACAAAAGAATGAAAAAGACATGAATATTTCATTAAAAAGGAGATGTGTACAATCCTTAAAAATATAAAAACCTGCTTTTCTTCCATACAGAAAGAAATTAAAATTAAAGTATCACTAATACATTTTTCACCTATTCTATTATGTGCTATCAGGTGCCATCGAATCAGTATTAATTCATAGTGACCCCAGGTACTACAGAACAAAATGTTGCCCAATCCTTCACCATCCTCACAATCATTGCTATGTTTGAGCTTGGTATTGCAGCCACTGTATCAACCCATCCTGTTGAGGGATTTCTTCTTTATCACTGACCCTCCACTTGTCCTTCTCAAGGGACTGGTCCCTCCTGATACCATGTCCAAAGAAAGTGTTCTGGTTCCCTAAAGGTGGCATCTTCTGCCTCGTCTAACTTCACAAGAGGAAGACAGAATCACCATCAGCAGCCCAAGGCCATTCCTATGCAGCCAGACATGCGACCACCCTCTAGCCTGCTACTAACCTTGTCACCAACTGTTTTTCCCATGCCACCCACCATCTCTCCGCTGGGTTCAATAATTTGCTTCAGTGGCCACACAGAATTCAGATTATGGGGTTTATTAGGGAAGCAACAGGCTACAATTCAAGCTGAGGAATGTGCTCAATCTCTCGCAGGCAGCCATCTCACTCAGCAGCCAGTAGTCTCTCTCAGTAGCCAGCAGTCTCTCTCAGTAGCATGTCTCTCTCACATCTCTCTCTCTCTCAGAAGTGCATGTTTCTCGTGTCTTTCTCTCAGCAGGGTGTGTCTCTCATGTCTCTCTCTCTCTCAGCAAGTGCATCTCTCTCAGCAGCATATCTCTCAGCCGGCAGTAAGAGATCCCTCTGTCTCAAGGAGGGCTCCTTTTGAGCCTGGCAGAGAAGCCAAACTAACCAATCCCAACATCAGAATTCTATACACCTGAGAGCGAGCAAACTTTCCAGAAGATTGCTTCCTGCTACTCCTACAGAAATACCCCAGGAAGATAACTTTAACAATCAGCTACTCACAGCAAAGGGGGAGTTACAAGGACTGTGGCTAGAAAAGCCATACAAGTAATTTACTACACTGCAACAGGAAAAGATCACCAGGTCTTTTCTCCCACAGAGCTGAACCACTGTGACCTTGGTTAACAAACAGGTGATTGCCCATTGCAACTCCAAGGCTCCTTATTCTTAATGGAGGACCTTGAAAATGGATCAAATAAAATGAATATTTTATACATATTCTCAAAATTTCTCTTCATATAATTTTCCCCCTTATAAATCCCAAAACTTCTGGAAATGTGACTTCTTAAACCCGGATAACTGAAAATCTTATTAGCATTGCTTTGCTTTTAAATATGCCTTCTAATTTTCATTAGAAGCACATTTCTCAATTTATATTATATTTTTGGCTATAAGGACCACAGTATAAAGCACTACAAACTTTAAGAAATATTGGTGTTGAATTTAGCCAGATGATGGTGCTTTTATGACTAATTTCATAATGAACCTTTTATATTACCTAGAGTAAATGATTTTAATTTCCTGCTTACCTGTCTATGACTGGAGCCTAAGCACACTTGTTTTCTTGTACTTTACAGCTACCCTAAGCTCTTAGTTAAAATGTCTACCTAATATGATTTCCTTAGTCATGCATAAGCATTATCATAAATGTGCAAAAATTTTTCATCAGCTCTGGTGGCATAGTGCCTAAGGCATTTTTGTCTGCTAACCAGAGGCTGGTGGTTCAAACCCACCAGCCACTCCTTGGAAGAAAGATCGGGTAATCTACTTCTGTAGAGTTACTGCCTCAGAAACCCAAAGAGGGGTTACTATGAGTTGGAAAAGACTCAATGACAGTGAGTTTGATTTTTTTAATTTAGGAGATAATAGTTTCTACATAGACAAGTCAGAAGGTGAGATTTTAGATCCCTGACCCCCAGGAAAATATAAAAATACAATATCCATTTATTTGGTAATTAACACTTACCTGTGTTATGCTAACATCTGATTGTTCCTCCTGCCAAGTTATATATGGCAGAAAGTCCACATCTTCTCTGGCAATAAGTTCCAAAATATTTAGAATTTTAGGAAAAGGTGACTCATTTTCATCCTATATTGAATCACAATTTGGTTAAAACAAAACAGATATTATCAAATGAAATTATTATTATACATTGTAAAGCCTGTGAATGGTTCACTGGAACATGATTGCGTTTAAGACTGGAACACGTATCCTTAGCCACGAGTCAGCAGCATAATGTTCCTACATGAGCACTTACTAGGGTCTGGGCATTGTGACAAGTGCTTTACATGGATTTTCCTCTTTATTCACTTTCCATACAGCGGTTCACATATACTTTGTCTCATGACATTGACCACAGTTTACCAGAACGCAATAGCTCCCCTCCAACTTCCTCCCCATAGTTACCTCTTCCCTATGTCCATCCCTCCATGCACTCCTGCCTCCTGAGCTGTCTCCCTGTGCATAAGCAGCCCTTCCTTCTCCCATGATTGTTCTCTCCAAGTAGTGTACCTACCTCAGGTAAATGTTCAACTCATATGCCTATCTTTTGTTTGGCTGGAAACCACAGGTGTGGGTTCAATTCCAGATCTGAAAGGTAGCTAGGGGCCATAGTCTCAGTGGTTCCACCAGGCTCTATCGGACCAGCAAACCCCCCCTTTTTTTTGTCTCCAAATGATTTTGAGTTTTGTTCCACATTGTTCTCCCTCTCTATCAAGGATCTCCTACATAGATCCCCTTCCAAGTTGATGACAGTGGTAGCCGGGCACCATCTAGTTCTTCTGGTCTTATAGTTGTATAGGTTGCAGATCGGATGGTGTACCATTTGCTAGGACTAATTGTTTCCATGAATTTTGGTTTTCTTCATTCTTCTTTGCTCTGGATGAGGAGAGACCCATTGTTGCATCTAGATGGCAGCTTGCTAGCTTTCAAGATCCCAGTCGCTACTCGCCAAAGTAGGAGGGGAACAATGTTTTGTATAGTATGTTATGCCAATTGAACTTGATGTCCCCTGTGACTATGGTCCCAAGCCCGGATTTTCCTCTTAAACTGATGAAGGAAAAATGGTTTTTCAGAGGGTAAGTGAGGTCTAGGCCTTTTCTATTTTTTTAGGATCTTGGATTAATAAAAGAATAGAAATGCCAACAAAGTTATCAAACTATATCTTAAAGGTACATGTGTAACTAATTAGTAACGTTATAACATTACAAATGATAACATACATAACTCATTTAGAGAGATCATCGTAAGTCCTAATGCTGATGAGGTACTTCGTGAATGTAAGGTGGCCCTGGTTCAGTGATCCTCCTGGCCTCTCCCAGCCTTTACTCCTCTGAAGCCATGGAAGTGGGTATTGTTATTAGCTTCACTTTACTAATGAGAACATTGAGACTACATAATTTGCTCAAAGACAGTAACTGGTCTAACCAAGATTCTAGTCTCATTCTATCTGACTTCTAGACCTCTGCTGTTATACTGTATTATGAAAAAGTAACAAATTCTTTGCTTGGGATTCATTGTTTCTTGTGAACTACAGATGAATCTCTCTGAGATGTTTAGATAGTGAAAGTGCTGCTTTTCTCCTAGAACCACTGTGAACCCTGAGTCACAAAGGTAAAAAGAGGAGTAGTTTATTTCATTGGGTTGCCCTTGCAGGCTTGTGTGAAAATAAAAATGCCTTCCAGTGCAAATATCAAGGGCTTCTTCCTTCAGGGATAGTCCAACTACTGTTTTCAAAAACTCAGAGGTGTTAAAAACTCATGAGTACAGTTACTGGCAAAGAGCAAAGTAAGTGAAGAGGCCAGGTGAGGACTGTAGCTCAACACAGTTCTTATGAGACTGGAATGTGAGCTGCTATTCAACTCCTCCATGTGAAAATGGGGATGCAGTATAGTTAGACATTAGATTAAAAAAAAAAATTAAGAAAACTAGTCTTTGGGAGCAATCTCTCATAAATTTAAGTAACTAACTAAAACAAATTGTTGAAAACACTACCAGAATAAATAAAACACATTTGTGGACTGGATATGGTAAGGGCCACCAACCAGTTTGACTTCTAATTTAGGACACATTTCAAGCCCTGGGAAAAGTCTTGGGAAGGCAGGATGATGAGGGTCATTGTCTCTGCATGGTGGCCTCACTGGCTTTGTAGGAGTTAAATGTTTCATCTTGCTTGTACAGCATGAAACCCTTGCTCAATGAGAAGGATACCACCACTGAGAACCACTGATGCTATGACAGTAGCCATCCATTGTCATATGTTATTAAAATTCAGCCCTTCTGACTCTGAAGCATTGGGATAACAGGAAAGGGAGAGCAGAGTTCTGGAGATTTTAAGCATGGATTCAGGGAGAATGAAGAACATCTACTATATAAAATTATCCTGGAGCTGGGATAGTACCTTGAAAGGAATCTTGTTTAGGGACTGGAATTCCTATTATGCATAAAACTATCTGCATATAGTTTGACAATGCACAAGGGTGACCTTGGTGTAGTCACTTGTTTCTTCATATACAAAAAGCTCTAGCTAGGCCTATTGAAACTATCTTTCCCCCATTATATTGAAACTTACCATCTATAATGGAAATAAACAAGGATATTGATATGAACAACACAAAAATGCATCTGTGAATTAATTTTGGGCTCTCTAATAACTATGCTTTGTACATGATAATAAAAAAACATCAGTTCTCCTTAAAAAATGTCATTTTAAATGCTATTCCTCAATTACAGCAATAACAATAATAATAAATGATGGTTTAGTCCAAGCTACATCTTCACTATTGAAGGTTTAATCACCTCTTTAACACTAAACCCAAGGCATGCTACATTACATAAATGTGAACAATCCTGTGTTTGGAATTTCTTCCTGTGAAGAGCAGATTAGCAACCAGAGCAAGTGTAATTTTCTTAATATGTAAAGATAAATAATTTAACCATGAATTAACAACAACACATACCCTTTTCTCAACTGCCACAAAGCTTGTAAACTGTGTTAGGAGAGAGTATTCTTTACTGATATTAATAATCAGAGATTTCAACATTTGTTTCTTCATCTAGGATAGAATAAAACAAATGAAATCATGTCTTGTTTTACTTTTTACTATTTAGCTATATATGAACAATTAAATAGCCTAAAAAGTTGTTTTCTATGACAAACTAATCATTTTATAAGTAATATTTCAAGCTAAATATTTCATTAATGATCCTGTCCAAATATCAAGTTGTTGACTTCAATGTTCCTTGCAAAATAGGATCAACTGACCAGTTAAATCATAGAAAAAATAACTCATATTTATGTACCTCTTTATAATTTCTCATTTTCTTACAGATAACCTGTGAAGTAGATGTTCTGGTTCCCAGTTTAAAGAGAAGGAATCAAGGCCTGGAGAGGCTAGGTGACTTGTTCAGTTTTAGTCAGTGGTAGGGCTGGTCAGGAGCCAGGCTGCCTGAGTTCAGTTCACTCAGAGAAAAAGTGGCCCTTAAGAAAAGTTAACACAAAGGCTACTACTAATCAGAGGGCAATACAGGAGTCCTAGGACAGCAAGAGGCTTTTTCTCACTGGTCAGGAGTACTTGCAGGGCATCCTTTAGGGAAGGCAGTGAGCACTGATGCTCCAAGCTACATATGAGATCCTAGAGCTCTGGTAGCATAGTGCCTAAGGCACTTGACTGCTAACCAGAAGGCTGGTGGTTCAAACCCACCAGCTACTCCTCAGAAGGAAGGTTGGGCATTCCTACTTCCGTAGTGATACTGCCTTGGAAACCCAGGGAGGGGTCGCTATGAGTCGGGGCCAACTCGATGGCAAATAACAACAACAACAACAGCTCATGAGAGACACTGGGACAGGCAGGGTAGGAGGCTGAGTGGATCCTTGACTGAGGGCCATCAGCACTGTGAGAAGGGGCAAGGTAGGCTTTGGCTCTGCTTAGTGTCCTGAGGCAGGCCCCCTACCCAATTTGCACCCTAGTTTCTTTATTAGTAAAACAGAAATACTAAAATAACATGGATTTGTTGTTATGAATGAAATTAGATCATATCTATCACAGACATTTAGAAAATGTTCTCTTTCCTTCCCTGGCCAAATTCTCAGGAAACCACTAGCATTTTCTTCCTAAGCAATTCATTCAACATGCATTTACTAAGCACCCTGTACCCCAGGCACAGACATGACAGGCATAATGATGAGGCCTTCCATACTCACATTTCATCTTTTCTACCCAGCTGTCCTGACTTGACTTTTTTTTAAATAAATCAATTTAAGAATGACCAAGAACAATGTATAATTGTTTCTAATATGAAAAGAACAGACCTGGTGATGTGTTTCATTTTCATGGAGAATGCCGTATTCAAAATCTCTAATGAGAGCTCGGGCTGTCAGTTTGTGAATCATCTATGTTTAAAAGGCAAAGGAAAAAAGACTACAATGGCTTCTAATTAAAGACTTATACAAAACACCATTTTTTAAATTGAGGTATAATTTATACACATTAAATGCACCCCTGTGAAGTGTAGTTTGATGACTTTTAACAAATGTATGCAGCTGCACAACCACAAATGAAATAAAGATACAGAACATGCCCTTCACTCTGAAACATTCCCTGGGTCCTGCTAACCAGCGCCAGCCACCACCACCAACCACTGATCTGTTTTCTGTCCCTTTTGCCTTTTCTATAAAAGGCCATTATGCCAATTCAATTTATTTTAAAAACTTAAAACTGTTCTTTACTACAGGAAGAGTCTTTAGCTGTTAGCTTAGTCCCTCTAACACCCAATGTGAACATATTCAACATTAACACACTCTGAAGAGCAAAAGCAGCAACAATTGCATCATGAACCATTTCCTCCTTTTTCTCTCAAATGTCTAAGAAATGCAACTGATCTTGAATGGCAATATCTGCTTTCCATGATAATTCCAAGACTTGTAGTTTTGTTATTGATAAGGACACAGTTCATAAAGAAGTATGACTATTAAAACTGTTTTTTTAATGGAAAAAGATCTCTCTTCTAAGATTCAATTTTTAAAGCAATATAGCTTTAAGTTCTCAAGTTCCCTTAAGTTCTATAAATAAACCACTGGCAAGTAAAAATCAACAATTACTGATTCAGTGCCAAAGAGTAAAATATATTTTATTTTTTAAAACTTCAGCAATGTCTGGGAAATGGTTTATCTGGTTACATAAGTACTCTTATTAAGAGCAAGCTATAAGTATAGTACATATAAAGAATTTTCAAAGTCAAACAATAGTGGATTCAATACTAATACAAATATTCCGAACTTTTTGATAGTATAGCATTTGCTTTTAATCTAAAAATACAAAATAAACATTCTCAACATACAATACAGTTTGCTTATATCCTAGCATTGTTACTCACCCTAAACCCACTGCTACTGAGTTGATTCAGACACACAGTGACTCTATAGGAAAGAGTAGAACTGCCCCCATAGGATTTCCAAGGTTGTAAATCTTCACAGAAGCAGAATGCCTTATATTTCTCCCATAGAGCAGTTGGTGGGCTTGTATCACCAACCTTTTGGTTAGCAGCTGAATGTTTTAACCACTGTACCACCAGAGCTCCTATTAAACTTAATATTAAAACAAAAAGTAGATGGACCCATAGCACTTTTTCTGAGTCCTGGTCATCTTTGAGATCTCCCTAGAAAACTTTTCATGCATAACATATATAATTCTATTTATCCATACCCACTGCAACCCATTTATAGACACAGAACATCAGATGAAGACTCCCTGCTTTAGAAAATGAAGGAAAGTGTCCTCATTTACATAGACACATTACATGTTAAAACTGTAGCAGAGAAACAACAAAAGAAGTAAGTATATGAAGCATTATATATCAACACATAAAATTAAAACTTTGGAACACTGGGTCTATATTTTAAGTTTTAAATCTTACATATCCAGTTGTCTTCTGAAGTTCTGTAGTTGATACCATTGTACAAAACTCTTTCTCTTGAATTAATGCACACAGAGTTGCCTGAATTTGGAAAAAATAATTCCTTATTAGATTTTCTACTCAACAGTGTCTTGGTTAGGCTAACAGTGATTTTCTTTAGTGATTTCCTCTCCCCTCTGAAATAGGATTTAGATTCTCTAGCATTCCTGGTTAACCACCAGCCATGTTCTTAGGAGGAGAATATTTGCCAGTATCTTAGAAGGAGAATATTTGCCAGTATATTATAATTTGAAAAGGGGGGAAGGAGAAAAAAGAAAACAAGAAAAAGATCATTCTTACCAAATGCATTGCTCTTCCCATAGTTAAATGAACTATGTGCCTCCATACCTGTGTGCAATGAGGAATAAACCCATAGACGAGGAGGCAGTCATTACGGAACAAGGATTGCACCTGGGCTGGTGCCTGTAAAGGCTTGGAAGAATTCGTGCTTAGCTGCTGCCATTTGACAGAGACAGAGTGGCAACTCGGAGAGTGTAATCTAGTCATTTGGTCTTCTACCTATTTACAAAAAAGGAATTATTTCTTTTTCAATTTCACATCCAGGAAATACAGTTCTCGTAGTATTATTTAACATTTCTTAAAAATTTTATATTCAATCCTTTGGAATTGTTGCTCTTTATTTTTTTTCCTTCCTGCTACAGGGTACTTTTTTAAAAAAACAACTATATAGGATTTTATATAATAGCACTATAACATAACTGAAATTTGTAAGACATCCTAAAATTGTTTCAATACAACTATAGGTATGGAATAGATTTCAGTTATAAAAATTCATGCTAACAAAACGTGTAATACTTTACTTTTAAAAATCAAGCCATGACACTTTATAAAACAGAAATAAAATTATGGCTGTGAGACAAATGGTCATTATGGTAGGAAGTCAGACCTTCAGTAGCTTTAGCATCTTTATGGCTCCTCATTGCATTAATGAAAGCATAGGAGTTACTATCACTAGCCTTGTTAGAAGACATTTTGACATATAGATATAAGATTACAAATAAGATGTTTAAAACACATACCTGTATTTTCCAACTATGCTTGGATTTTGAATTAAAATATTCAAATACTCCAGCACCACACTGAGACAAAGTCCTTAAGACATGACGATTTGCTGTAGAACTAATCACATTTCATATGTTTTAATTTTCAAGAAAGTTTAGAACACTTTTGAAGTACATGTTAACAATTTTAACAAAGCTCAAAACTGAATGGAAGCATTACATGAAGAAAATTCACTCTATTGTATCTGAGGTTAGAGAGAAAATCTGTAACAGACAGTATGATGTATCTGATGGTTTGGGTAATTTTGCTGCCACGTGACAGAAGATTTATTTCTCTCTGAAAACAGAAATAAGAAAATGGGTAGGAACACTTGATTTCTGCTTTACCTAAGAATGGAGTTGTTGATTCTGACAAATCTCCAAAAGTAGAATGCTGACAAGGAGATCAACCAACTTCTAATGAATTTCAAAGTTAATGAAACTGATTTCAAAGGTGAAAAACTGGCAAATAAGTTAATAGAGTCTACATCTTATATTTTGATACATCACATCTAGGCAGTAGAAGTTATAAAGGAAGTAACTCTCATTTTAGTTAAGAAAATCTTTTACATTTAAGTAACAAGCATCCTATTCTCTCTCAATAATCAAGAATGCTTTTTTAGAAGGTTTCCTCCTGAAATATAAAAATTATCTATTGTTTTTCAGAAAAAAACAGCTTAAAATTATTTCTAAGATATTTTTCAGCCCATTTCTAAATACTAATTTTCTCTTCTGTCCTCAAAATTAACTGGCAATGATAATAATGCTGATTAAAAAATCCTTAAGACAACGTTCATTTATACTTTCTAGATCTTGTCAATCAGGCTGGTTAGAATCTTTTTTGTGCTCTCATTGTGTAACTTCAAAGGACAAGTTATGTCAATAGGAAGAAGGCAGAACCAACAGTTACTACTACTGCAGAACTTGTATTACTAGAATTTGTAAACACAAACATATAGGTATAAAACTAGGCAAAAGCATGTAGTAAGATTATAAAAACTGACAGAAAATCATTTTAACTGCAGCTCCTTCAGGCTGGGTCATGTAATCAGTGCAGCATTATGTCCTCAGAAGTGGCTTTCTGACTTGTGGTTTTAACAGACTCTGGCCTCTTCCGATCCCACTCATCCTCAATCACACCTTCTCTGTTTTCTTCCTGGCACTTATGAAGACCTGAACACATCCTCTAATTTGTAGGATTACCTATTGACTATCTGACCACTAGAATGAAAACTTTGGGACATAGGACCCTGATGGTCTCCCCTGGTGGTACATCCCAGTGTCTGGCAGAATATACCTCATAGTGAGCAAGGCAGAAATAAACATCCAGTGCCTTCTGAGCCAGGGCATTAAGCTATGCTCATTAGCACTGCCTTGGCTTCTCCAGAGGAACTGAAGAAGGCCCATTCTGTGGCAGTGTAGAGTCTAGTAAAGTGAGAGGAGGGAATGTTACCATATACCAGGAAATTGTTACTGGAGGATCTGCTCAGGCAAGAGACTGCCTGTAGAAAGGAGCAACCGATCCCCGTGGCAAGAATTAACCCCGAGTTCACAGGTGCTAGCTAATCACGTCACAGGTGCTAGCTAATCACGTAAAGCTCCGTTACTACAAATTTCTGCTGGAGTTTGTAGCAAAAGTTTGAAAGAAGTAACTCTCACTCACTCAAAGAAAATCTTTTATATTTAAGTGACAAGCATCCTATTAAATTTAATCTTATAAATGTAATTCAGTCTGTGATGCCCTGATAGGCCTTGGATTACACAGAGCAGGAGTGAGAGCTATGACTGCAAAGGAAGGGAGGGGAAGAGAAAGAGAGAGTCTAGCACTTTGAGGCAGGCAGGTCTGGCCTGAGCGCGGCAGGTGTGGGTATCTGAGCACCCACAGGGGCCAGAGTCATAGATCAAGGGCCTGAGGCCTATCAACTCAAGAAAACATGGCTGACTTGGAGTTCCCATCTGGCCCCCATGGAATAATGCCTCCATCCTCTCCTCCTCTTGAAGTGTGGAGTTAATAGTATGGTTAGGGGATGGGAAGATGAATTGGCTCCTTGCATTGCCTCAAAATAAAGAAACATGGTAGATGCTTTTTTAGAAGGGTAACTGTCTACAGGGAGAGTACAGAAGCATGGTCTATGCAACTTCAGTTTAGCCTCTTCTGTTCAGCATTGATTGTCCTTGTATTTCCACCATATAACTTAGTTCAATCAGGAAAAAAAGTGAAATATAATGGAAAGGAGGTCAATTCCAAAATCAAGGGTTTTTCACTTTCATATAGGAAAATCCTACTGATATTCTACTTATACTTTATAAAGTTCAAAACCTCAGAATAGCCAAAAAGGATAATGTGGACAAGCAAAACAAACTGGGTGGGGACTATGGCAAACTAGCTGGCCCAGGCCTTGCCTGAAGTAGCAGCAGGAACTGCTCAGGCCAATAAAATGCAGCTTCATGAGGATGTGCTCTCAGGCTTTCAGACTTCTCATGGCAGCTTTGAAATTTGGATTTTTATGCAAAATAATAACATCTAACATTTATTTGGTACTTATCACGTGTTAGTTCAGTTCTACCAGCTTTCCATCAGTTAACTGATTTTATTTTCACAACTCTATGAGGAAGATATTTTTCTTACATCTTCGTTTTACAAGTAAGAGGTTAAGCAACTCGCCCAAGATCACAGCTAACAAGTGGCTGACTCAGGTTGTGAGGTCTAGGCAGTCTGGGCTCAGAGGCTTTGCTCTTCCCCTCTGTGCTACACAGCTTTTCATACTAGTATCAACTTAAAAGGAGTTCTGGAAGCATAGTACCTAAGGTACTTGACTGCTAACCAGAAGACTGGTGGTTCAAATCCATCAGCCCCTTAGCAGAAGGAAGATTGGACAATCTACTTATGTACTGATACTGCCTCAGAAACCCAAGGAGGGGTCGCTATGAGTTGGATCCAACTCGACAGCACATAACAACAACCACATCAACTTAAAAGTTTTCAAAAATGCTTTGCAAACCAACCAAAACGCCTACCTTCAGGCTACTCACCCAATGCCACAGGTAAACAATCTGGTGTGTTGGACATTCCTTTTTACAAGCTGGAACGTTAGGCTCTCATTCTGAATGTGACCATCTGATATAAGAATGATGTTCCTTAGCCCCTGAGAAGGGTACAATAAATTTAAATATCGGAGAGTTTTCCAGAACTCTGTATTTCCCATGGTAGGTGTAGCAGCCTGCAGGAAATGAAGCAAGAGACTGTTTACCCATCATTGGAAATATTCACTATTAACTGTCATCATTTCCTGAAGCACATGCATACTAAAGACTAAAAGGATTCGTTTTCCTATTTACACATCTGTAGAACTATATGGACATGCTTCCATGTCACACAATAACAATAATATTATCATTTCACATTTATTTAATTTACATTTTCAAAGAGGCATTGTATTTATAGGAAGAAATATCATATGAAAGTTTCTCAGTCATTAACTGGTCATACTCAGCTTGCTCCATTTTAAGAGTAAGAAAAGATTCCTAAGCATTAATGGTGGTTACATTTGGTTATTTGTTTGTTTTTAATTTTTTATTGTGATATGGGTGCAAGTTTACGAAGCAGATTAGTTTTACTCTCAACAGTTCATGCACATTTGATTTCACGGCCCTGATGAAAATCCCCCACCATGAAAAGCTCTCTTCCCCTTTTGTCCCTGTGACTACCCCTTCCCTGTGCCCTTCTGATCCATGCATTCCTATCTGTCCGGCTTCCAATCTATGTGAATGTTGCCCCTCTCATGTCTCATGGCTGACTGATCTAAGGGGAGCATCTCCCTAGGGTAGGGGGGTATATCTTCCTGGGGTAGGTGTTCTGCTTACAGGTCTTTCTACTGTTGGGCTAAGAGCTAATCCACAAAAATGAGTCCATTACCAGGCCTGAAGTATAACCCAGGGCCATAGTCTGGGGGTTCCACCAGTCTCTATTCAACCAGTAATTCTGGTCATTTTTGTGTTTTTGAATTTTATTCCACATTTTTCCTCCCATTCTATCCAGGATCTCTAATTTTGATCCCTTTCTGAGTGGCTAACATTGCTAACAGCCGGGCACCATCTAGTTCTTGCTGTCTCAAGGTCATGAATGCTGAGGTCCTTGTGGTCCATCATATCTGTTTCCAAAACAACTTTGATTTTCTTCACTCTTCTTTGCTCCACACAAAACGAAATCAATAATTGCATCTTAGATGGCCACACGAAAACTTTTACGACTCTAGTTGCTACTCACAAAAATAGGATATAGAACAAGATTTTTATGTATGATGTTTTATCAGTTTAGCTTGATGTCCAATGGTGGTTACATTTGCATGGTAGGACAATGGTGATTATTTTTTCCCCCTATTTTTTTAAACATCCAGTATTTCTTTAAAGAGTACATACATATCACTTTTATTAATGGAATAAAAGAGACTGCCAATATGCAAAACTGAAAAACTAGAGCTTTCTGATGGTGGTTGTAGGGAGAGTAAGTCCTCAACTAAAACTCGATAGAAAAACACACAGGAGATAAAGGAAGGTTCTTTTACTCACCATAATGAACTCTCTTGGCATATCATTCCTTGTGATATACTTAGGGTATGAAAATAATTCTTTGTAACCTGCATAATAAGATTAGTATAAGGTGTTACCATTAAATAGTCACTTTACTGATTATTACCATAAAATAATGCTACTTTGTACCACCACTGCTATCCTATAAACTCTACTGCACATTTATGTGCATATTTTACTTTTTTTTTAATTTTTATTGTTACTTGGGTCAAAGTTTAGAGAGCAAATTCATTTCCCGTATAGAAGTTCACATATACTTTGTCTCATGACATTGACTACAATTTCCCACAATGCAACAGCTCTCCTCCTACTTCCTTCCCAAAGTTACCTCTTCCCTGTGTTCTTCCCTCGCATACACTCTTGCTCCCCAAGCTGTCTCCATGTGCAGACACGCAGCCCTTCTATTATCCCATGACTGATCTCTCCAAGGAGTGTATCTACCTAAAGTAAATGTTCAGCTCCTGTGCCTCCCTTTTGTTTGGCTGGAAGCCACAGGAGTAGGTTCAATTCCAGACCTCAAGGGCAGCTAGGGGCCATAGTTTCACTGATTCCATCAGGCTCTATCACACCAGCAAACCTGGTCCCTATATTTATTTATTTTTCCTTAATGATTTTGATTTTTGTTCTACATTGTTCTCCTGCTCTGTCCAGGATCTCCTACATAGCTCCCCCTCTGAGTGGTTAACACTGGTGGCTGGGCACCATCTAATCTTTCTGGTCTCATAGTCATATAGGCTGAGGATCACATGGTGTACCAGTCACTTGGACTAATTGTTTCCATGAATCTTTGTTTTTCTTCATTCTTCTTTTGTCTAGATGAGGAGAGATCCATCGTTGCATCTAGATGGCCGCTTGCAAGCTTTTAAGATCCAAGTCACTACTCGCCAAAGCAGAATGTGGAACAATGTTTTATGTAGTGTATTATACCAACTGAGCTTGATGTCCCTTGTGACTATGGTCCCAAGCCCACAGGTCCAAGTACTCATTCTTTCTGGGTAGCTGGCTGTGGCCAAGCAGTGACTACAACCTTGCCCCTCGTCAGCTTACTATATACCTGGGAATTCTTACAGAACATACAAATACACTTGTAGAAACATTGTCTGGAATCCTATAATGGTCACAGGCACACTCACCCCTGCAAAGACATACCTAGTAGTTCAACCTATACACCCATCTATTCACCCATCAATCAATGTTTGCCTTCACTGATAATGCAGTACTGTATGTGCAAAAGGTTTCATCTTGGGAGCTCTGGTGGTGTAGTGCCCAAGGAATTTGACTGCTAACCAGAAGGCTGGAAGTTCAAACCCATCAGCCACTCCTCAAAAAGAAGGTAGAGCAATCTACGTCTGTAGTGATACTGCCTCAGAAACCCAAGGAGAGGTCACTATGAATCGGATCCGACTCAACGGCAGTGAGTTTAGTTTTGGTTGCTGTCTGTACCTCCCATGCACCTATGTCTGCCTCTTTCTCATTGCGACAGTGTTGACACTCAACATTTGGTACATTGCCCGTCTCTTCACTCCAATCAATACTTGTCTCTACCTATCTAACAGTATTCCCTTCCCCATCCCTCCCACGCCTAGTAACCAACAAAGAAAATTTCCTTCCATATATAAACCTTTCCTTGACTATATTTGTCCTTCTGTGATTGACTTATTTCACTCAGCATAATGTCCTCCAAGTTCATCCATGTTATGCACTGTTTTGTAGATTCTACATTATTCTTTATTGTTGCTTAGTATTCCACTGTATGTATGGTCCATAGTTTGGTTACCCATTCTTCTGTCAATGGGTATCTAGGTTGTTTCCACCTTTCTGCTACTGTAAATAGCACTGCAATGAACATGGGTCTGCATATATCTGTTCTTGTCCTGGGTCTCACTTCTTTAGGCTATATACCTAATAATGGAATTGCTGGATCAAATGGTATTGCTAATTCCAATTTTCTAGGGAATTGCCATACTGCTTTCCATATTGCTTGTATCATTTGACAGTCCCACCAGCAATGTATGAGAGTCCCATTTCTCCGCCTCCTTGCCAGCACTTGTTATTTTCTCTCTTGTTGAAATTTGCTACTAGTGTTGGGCAAGATGGTATCTCATTGTTGTTTTGAGTTGCATCTCTCTACTTCAGTAGTGATATTGCCTTGGAAACCCAAGGAGGAGTCGCTATGAGACGCATCTAACTAAACGGCAGTGAGTTTGGTTTTGGTTTGAATGCCTAATGACCGTGAGCATTTCTTCATATGTTTGTTGGCCGAATGAATATCCTCTTTGGTGAAGTGTCTATTCATGTCTTCTGCCCATTTTTTAATTGGATTGTTTGTCTTTTTGTTATTGAGGTGTTGGAGTGTTCTATAAATTCTAGAGATAAGTCCCTTGTCAGATATGTAATTACCAAATACTTTTTCCCAATCTATAGGTTGGTTCTCTTTTTACTCTTTCTGAGAAGTCTTTGGAAGCACATAAAATTTAATTTTTAAAAGGTCTCATTCATCTAATTTATCTTCTGCTGTTCATTCATTTGGGGTTACGCTTAATAGTCTGTTTATGCCATATATGAGGGCCCCTAAATTTGCCACTAGTTTTTCCTTGAGGAACTTTTACAGTTTTAGGTTTCACATTTAAGTCTTTGATCCATCTGGAGTTAGTTTCTGTGTATGGTGTGAGGTATGGATCTTGTTTCATTTTTCTGCAAATGGATATCCAGTTTTGCCAGCACCATTTGTTAAACAGACACTCTCTTCCCCATTTAATGGATTTCAGCCCTTTGTCAAAGATCAGCTAACCATAGGCTGATAGATCTATTTCTGGATTCTCAATTCTATTCCATTTGTCTGTGTGTCTGTCATTGTACCGATACCTGGCAGCTTTGATGATTGTGACTGTATAACAGGTTTTAAGATCCGGGAATGTGAGACCTCCTACTTTGTTCTTCTTCATTAATGGTTTGCTTATCCAAGGTCTCTTTCCTTTCTACATAAAGTTAGTGACTGACTTTTCCATATCCTTAAAGAATATTGATGGGATCTGGATTGGGATTGCACTGAATGTATAGATTGCTTTGGGGAGAAGGTCTTTTATGATTTCTTGATGTAGTCCCTATGGGTTTTTTTTTTTTTAATACAGGTCTTTTGTGTCCCTGGTAAGATTATTCCCAATTATTTTATTTTTCGGTAGCCATTATAAGTTGTATTGATTTCCCTCTTTGTTTTTCAGTAATTTCTTTGCTAGTATAAAGGACTCCAACTGATTTTTGGATGTTGATCTTGTATCCTGTCACTATGCTGAATCTCTCAATTAGTTCCAGTAGTTTCTTTACTGAATCTCTTGGGTTTTCTAGGTATAGGGTCACATCATCAGCAAATAGGGATAGTTTGACTTGTTCCTTATCAATATGGATGCCTTTGATTTCCCTTTCTTGCCTTATTGCCCTGGCTAGGCCTTCCAATACAATATTGAATAGAAGTGGCAACAGAGGGCATCCTTGTCTGGTTTCTGTTCTCAAGCCAAGTGGTTTCAGTCTCTCTCCATTGAGAAGAATGTTGACTGTTAGTTTTGCATGTGTGCCCTTTATTATGCTGAGGAATGTCCATTCTATTCCTATTTTGCTGAGAGCTTTTATCAGGACTGGGTGATGGATTTTATCAAATGCCTTTTCTGCATTGATTGATAAGATCATGTGGTTCTTTTCCTTTGTTTTATTTATGTGGTGGATGACATTGACTGTTTTTCTAATGCTGAACCATCCTTGGGTAATTTGGTCATAATGAATTTTTGGATATGTTGTTGAAAGCTACTGGCTAGGATTTTGTTCAAGATTTTTGCATCTATATTCATGAGGAATATTGGTCTGTAGTTTTCCTTTCTAGTGATATCTTTGCTTGGTTTTGGTTTCAAGGTTACGCTTGCTTCATAAAATGAATTTGGGAAGATTCCATCCTTTTGTATGTTTTGGAATTGTATGAGTAGGATTGAGTAGGTGTCAGTTCTTCTCTGAATTGTTTGGTAGAATTCTCCAGTGAAACTCTCTGGGCCAGGACTTTTTATTGTTGGCAACTTTTTTATGACCTGTTCAATTTACTCTTTTTTTATGGATCTGTTCAACTTTTCCATCTCAGTCTGTGTTATTTAGATAACTAGTGTGTTTTTAGAAATCTGTCCATATTTTCCAGATTTCCAAATCATAGTATCCTGATATTTTCTTTCAGTTGGTTCTGTTGTGATGTCGCCCATTTCATTTCTTATTCATTTATTTGTGTTCTTGCATACTTTAAAGAAAACTGTATTTGATCATTTTAACACAGTAGTCCTTTAAGTAATAAATCCCAGTATTTTCAAAATGTGCATCTTACTATTTGAAATGTTACTATTTTGCATTTTCCTTTGAGTCAGATCAAATGTGTAGATCTCTGTTCTGTAATACATTATGAATGAAAAGGTGTAGGGGTCTCAAATCATGCAAGTAACTTAGCCATGGAAAAAGGTGCACTCTCCTTGAGTGCGCTTTGCACTCTGTGCTTACGTGACCTCTACTGCCTGCAGCATTCAGTCTCCAGGTCAGTAGTGCTGAATGGTGCAAAATATAAGAATCACTGGAATATGGACTCCTGAACATTCCTTATAGATATTCTATGACTGCTGATTTCAGATATTCTGTTCTCTTATTCTTAGGACCCTCATCCTTGTCAGATCATGGGTTTTGCTTTTGGTTTAGTCAGCACCAATACTAATTGTTATATTTACATAGCATTCACTACATACTATGCATTGCTTTAAACATTTTACCTAACTCCACAACAACCCTATGAGGTAGGACCTACATATTAACTTCATTTACAGATGAGGAAACTGAGGCATAATATGGTCAAGTAATTTGCATAAGGTGACACATGTAACTAGGGTGTGATTGTTGCTGTTGTTGTTGATGTTAAGTTGATTCTGACTCATGGCGACCATTTGTAAGTGGTAAAACTAGGATGTGAACCTAGGTGACCAGGTTCCAGCACTCTTATTCTTAAAACCTATGCTGTGGAGTTCCAGTA